TCAAGGCTACATAGGTACACTACATCATGGGGGTTCTCTATGCAAAGCGTCACTATAGAAATAGCTTGAAATATGGACGGCACATTTGGGAGCGGGGCATTTTTGAGATGGAAATACTTGAAAATACGGGTTAGAAATAACATTTTCGTCTTCCTTAACCATTCCGCCATCTAAGCAAGTAATACAAGTCACTAACTACCCCCTTTTCAAGGCTACATAGGTACCCTACATTATGGGTGGTCTCTATGCAAAGCGTCACTATAGAAATAGCTTGAAATATGGACGGCACATTTGAGAGCGGGGCATATATTGTATGGAAATACTTGAAAATACGGGTTGCAAATAACATTTTCGTCTTCCTTAACCATTCCGCCATCTAATCAAGTAATACAAGTCACTAACTACCCCCTCTTCAAGGCTACATAGGTACATTACATCAAGGGGGGTTCTCTATGCAAAGCGTCACTATAGAAATAGCTTGAAATATGGACGGCACATTTGGGAGCGGGGCATATATTGTATGGGAATAATTGAAAATAGGGGTTGGAAATAACATTATTGTCTTCTTCAACCTTTTGGCCATCTAATCTAGTAATACAAGTCACTGGCTACCCCCTCTTCAAGGCTACATAGGTACCCTACATCTTGGGGGATTCTCTATGCAAAGCGTCACTATAGAAATAGCTTGAAATATGGACGGCACATTTGGGAGCGGGGCATTTATTGTATGGAAATACTTGAAAATACGGGTTGGAAATAACATTTTCGTCTTCCTTAACCATTCCGCCATCTAAGCAAGTAATACAAGTCACTAACTACCCCCTCTTCAAGGCTACATAGGTACCCTACATTATGGGGGGTCTCTATGCAAAGCGTCACTATAGAAATAGCTTGAAATATGGACGGCACATTTGGGAGCGGGGCATTTATTGTATGGAAATACTTGAAAATACGGGTTGGACATAACATTTTCGTCTTCCTTAACCATTCCGCCATCTAATCAAGTAATACAAGTCACTGGCTACCCCCTCTTCAAGGCTACATAGGTACACTACACCTTGGGGGATTCTCTATGCAAAGCGTCACTATAGAAATAGCTTGAAATATGGACGGCACATTTGGGAGCGGGGCATATATTGCATGGAAATAATTGAAAATAGGGGTTGGAAATAACATTATTGTCTTCTTCAACCATTTGGCCATCTAATCAAGTAATACAAGTCACTAACTACCCCCTCTTCAAGGCTACATAGGTACACTACATCAAGGGGGGTCTCTATGCAAAGCGTCACTATAGAAATAGCTTGAAATGTGGACGGCACATTTGAGTGCGGGGCATATATTGTATGGAAATACTTGAAAATACGGGTTAGAAATAACATTTTCGTCTTCCTTAACCATTCCGCCATCTAATCAAGTAATACAAGTCACTAACTACCCCCTCTTCAAGGCTACATAGGTACCCTACATCAAGGGGGTCTCTATGCAAAGCGTCACTATAGAAATAGCTTGAAATATGGACGGCACATTTGGGAGCGGGGCATTTTTTGAATGGAAATACTTGAAAATACGGGTTGGAAATAACATTATTGTCTTCCTCAACCTTTTGGCCATCTAATGAAGTAATACAAGTCACACCCTTACCCCTCTTCAAGGGTACATAGGTACCCTACATCATGGGGGGTCTCTATGCAAAGCGTCACTATAGAAATAGCTTGAAATATGGACGGCACATTTGGGAGCGGGGCAGTTTTTGTATGGAAATACTTGAAAATACGGGTTGGAAATAACATTATTGTCTTCCTTAACCATTTGACCATCTAATCAAGTAATACAAGTCACACCCTTACCCCTCTTCAAGGGTACATAGGTACCCTACATCATGGGGGTCTCTCTATGCAAAGCGTCATTATAGAAATAGCTTGGAAATATGGACGGCACATTTGGGGCAGCGGGGCATTTTTTGTATGGAAATACTTGAAAATACGGGTTGGAAATAACATTATTGTCTTCCTCAATCATTTGACCGTCTAATCAAGTAATAAAGTCACCCCTAGCCCCTTTTCAAGGGTACATAGGTACCCTACATCATGGGGGTCTCTATGCAAAGCGTCATTATAGAAATAGCTTGAAATATGGACGGCACATTTGGGAGCAGGGGCATTTTTTTGTATGGAAATACTTGAAAATACGGGTTGGAAATAACATTATTGTCTTCCTCAATCATTTGACCGTCTAATAAAGTAATGCAAAACACTGGCTACCCCCTCTTCAAGGGTACATAGGTACCCTACATGATGGCTGGTCTCTATGCAAAGCGTCACTATAGAAATAGCTTGAAATATGGACGGCACATTTGGGAGCGGGGCAGTTTTTGAATGGAAATACTTGAAAATACGGGTTGGAAATAACATTATTGTCTTCCTCAACCTTTTGGCCATCTAATGAAGTAATACAAGTCACACCCTTACCCCTCTTCAAGGGTACATAGGTACCCTACATCATGGGGGGTCTCTATGCAAAGCGTCACTATAGAAATAGCTTGAAATATGGACGGCACATTTGGGAGCGGGGCATTGTGTGTATGGAGATACTTGAAAATACGGGTTGGAAATAACATTATTGTCTTCCTCAACCATTTGGACGTCTAATAAAGTAATATAAGTCACTCCTTGCACCCACTTCAAGGGTACATAGGTACCCTACATCATGGGGGGTCTCTATGCAAAGCGTCACTATAGAAATAGCTTGAAATATGGACGGCACATTTGGGAGCGGGGCAGTTTTTTAATGGAAATACTTGAAAATACGGGTTGGAAATAACATTATTGTCTTCCTTAACCATTTGGCCATCTAATGAAGTAACAAAAGTCACCCCCTAGCCCCTCTTCAAGAGTGCATAGGTACCCTACAACACGGGGGGTCTCTATGCAAAGCGTCATTATAGAAATAGCTTGAAATATGGACGGCACATTTGGGAGCGGGGCATTGTGTGTATGGAAATACTTGAAAATACGGGTTGGAAATAACATTATTGTCTTCCTTAACCATTTGACCATCTAATCAAGTAATACAAGTCACCCCCTAGCCCCTTTTCAAGAGTGCATAGGTACCCTACATCATGGGTGGTCTCTATGCAAAGCGTCACTATAGAAATAGCTTGAAATATGGACGGCACATTTGGGAGCGGGGGCATTTTTTGTATGGAAATACTTGAAAATACGGGTTGGAAATAACATTATTGTCTTCCTCAATCATTTGACCGTCTAATAAAGTAATGCAAGTCACTGGCTACCCCCTCTTCAAGGGTACATAGGTACCCTACATCATGGGCTGGTCTCTATGCAAAGCGTCATTATAGAAATAGCTTGAAATATGGACGGCACATTTGGGAGCGGGGCATTGTGTGTATGGAAATACTTGAAAATACGGGTTGGAAATAACATTATTGTCTTCCTCAACCATTTGGCCATCTAATAAAGTAATACAAGTCACTCCTTGCACCTACTTCAAGGGTACATAGGTACCCTACATCATGGGGGGTCTCTATGCAAAGCGTCACTATAGAAATAGCTTGAAATATGGACGGCACATTTGAGAGCGGGGCAGTTTTTGAATGTAAATACTTGAAAATACGGGTTGGAAATAACATTATTGTCTTCCTCAACCTTTTGGCCATCTAATGAAGTAATACAAGTCATACCCTTACCCCTCTTCAAGGGTACATAGGTACCCTACATCACGGGGGGTCTCTATGCAAAGCGTCACTATAGAAATAGCTTGAAATATGGACGGCACATTTGGGAGCGGGGGCATTTTTTGTATGGAAATACTTGAAAATACGGGTTGGAAATAACATTATTGTCTTCCTTAACCATTTGGCCATCTAATAAAGTAATATAAGTCACTCCTTGCACCTACTTCAAGGGTACATAGGTACCCTACATCACGGGGGGTCTCTATGCAAAGCGTCACTATAGAAATAGCTTGAAATATGGACGGCACATTTGGGAGCGGGGCATTGTGTGTATGGAAATACTTGAAAATACGAGTTGGAAATAACATTATTGTCTTCCTCAACCTTTTGGCCATCTAATCAAGTAATACAAGTCACACCCCAACCCCTCTTCAAGGGTACATAGGTACCCTACATCATGGGGGGTCTCTATGCAAAGCGTCACTATAGAAATAGCTTGAAATATGGACGGCACAATTGGGAGCTGGGCATTTTTTGTATGGAGATACTTGAAAATACGGGTTGGAAATAACATTATTGTCTTCCTTAACCATTTGGCCATCTAATAAAGTAATATAAGTCACTCCTTGCACCTACTTCAAGGGTACATAGGTACCCTACATCATGGGGGGTCTCTATGCAAAGCGTCACTATAGAAATAGCTTGAAATATGGACGGCACATTTGGGAGCGGGGCATTTTTTTAATGGAATTTTTTTGAAAATACGGGTTGGAAATAACATTATTGTCTTCCTTAACCATTTGACCATCTAATCAAGTAATACAAGTCACACCCCAACCCCTCTTCAAGGGTACATAGGTACCCTACATCATGGGGGGTCTCTATGCAAAGCGTCACTATAGAAATAGCTTGAAATATGGACGGCACATTTGGGAGCGGGGCAATTTTTGTATGGAAATACTTGAAAATACGGGTTGGAAATAACATCATTGTCTTCCTCAACCATTTGACCGTCTAATAAAGTAATGCAAGTCACTGGCTACCCCCTCTTCAAGGGTACATAGGTACCCTACTTCATGGGCTGGTCTCTATGCAAAGCGTCATCAGAGATGATGTAATGATTTAATGGTTACGGTGCGGTACACTTGTGACTTAAAAGTACATAATGTGAAGAACAGAATAACCTTGCCTGATACAGCTAAACCGTTGTTTTCATAATAGCTTTGATGTCATTATTTTCAGTTTCAAGATATCTGCAATGATAACAGACTACTGGACGACATAGTCGTGTCCACGGGTCCCTACAGAGTTTCAAAACTGGATATCCTGACGATAGCACCAAGGCTTCCGAAAGAAACCAAAGACCAAATGAGAGACAAAATAGAGAAAGAGATGAGATGGATGGTTGGCTGGGTGAATGATCAGGTATGTATAAAAGACAGTATAAGCAGTTAATACACGCTGATAAAAGAAAGAACCCAAGTAACAATAAAAGTAAATACGTTTCTTTTGCAGATAATAAATGCCTTCCTGTATGTGCTGTGTCAAGGACGAGAGGTGGGTGGAAGGATTTTTAACCTACAAGACAATTTAGAAATAACAACAATACAAGATGTCGACTCGTTTGTTCAAAGAATATACAATATGACTGAATGTTGTGTTTATGTATACAATTACATACGGTAAACAATATTCGTCCTTGAATATATAACATGTTCTTTTTTTTCGTGTTATTTGCTTCAGTGTAAGGAACGAAATGTAGCTTTATCAACTCAGGTTATAGAGGGATGGCGAAATTTCAAGTCGGGAAGGAGTCACAGAGTGGCACTTCTACAAAATGTGATGAACTGATATTGAGTACAGTACATACCTGTGAGATAATATACACTGTAACAGTTGATAAACGTCGGCAATGACTAATTATGGAATTGAATTATTTCCTACGAATATAACAAATTCATTGTTGATCGCATTATAATTTGTTTGTTTGTTGTGTAATGCCACAATATGGCGATTCCAACACTATGTAACTGCTATGTTGCACAATACTACTGCATTATGAAGATGGCACCTCAGAACGAATATTGTTCCAAATGTAACAGACGATATTCGCTATATTTCAGGAATAACTCTCAGACGCAGAAAAAGTGTTTATACCGATTCATAGACAGGGCAGCCATTGGACATTGTTGGTAATTGGTATTTCCTGGGTATTTAAGACAGTAAGAGTGGTGACTTATAAGCTATATGTGTCTGGGACGCGTGTTTAATTTCATCAGTGTTTAAACTTTTGTGATTTCCTGTAACCGAGTCTGATCCAGATGTCATGACTAAATGTAACTTGTCGTAATCTGTGGTTATCGCCAATAGTGATGTGTTTCCGGCGTTTCAGCAGCCTTATATTGTATTTTTGGAGCAAATGTCTTATTCAGTGGGAAAGGGGAACGCCAGGTGTATTGACATATAATAGTATAACACTTATTCTTCTAACTCAGGTTTTGGATGTACAAACCAAACAAATGCGTTTCTATGACCCCATGAACCGGACATTTGATGAAGAGGTGGTCAACATTACAAGGTATGATTGTTGACTAAGTACATGCCCTGTTCTGACACCTACGAGGACATTATACTTGCACGCACGCACACATACAGAGGGTAACTACCTTCACGCCTCCTAGTCTATGTCTATTCATTGTTGAGTTATCTGTCGGGTTCTACTCTCATTGCTTTGGTATGTTTCTATGAAGGGAGTACATGGAATACAGGCTTCAGAATGTACCGGATGATGCCATTGACCCAACACACTTCAACGTAGAAGTCGGTCATGGGTACACAACACAGGACACTACCAGCTGTGGGGTTGACGTGTGCATAGTGAGTACAATGATGTGTTGAAAAGGGTTTTGTAAACGTTTTACTGAATTAATGGCTGCATATTTCACTTTTGCTTATTCAGCTACTATTCAGAAAATATTTAAATTTTTACATAAATGAAAGTATATTTGCTAATGTAAGGGTCACACTGAGCATCGCATGCTTGGAACGAATGCAGGAAGGACAAAAAGGTCTAATGTTCTGAACAAAAAGAACAAACTTCACATGTGTTACTATATGTCCCAAACATACCCAAACAGAACAGAGTGTGATGTTAACCGATACATGTGGCTATTTTACGGACGTAATGAGCGTACACTTAAACAGGATTAGGCATTAAGGTGCGCCTGGGGTACACCAGGAAGGCAACGTTGTGTCATCGACTGCCTAACACCCATGAACCTAGCTTCAAGCAACCTGCGCCATTGCTGTACCAACATGGCACCCAGCTGCTGAATATGGTGGCTGATTAGGGCCATCGCTTTCTCGCCTTAAAATTTGGAGGCGAGAAAGCGAGAAAGCGATATCACGAGACAATAAAGCCTCCTGTTGGATTAAATCACACGCAGGTTAGACGTCATGTGCAGACAGGGCAGAATTATGTGAAATATCGCTTTCTCGCTCTATCGCTTTCTCGCTTTCTAGCTTTCTCGCTTTCTTGCTCTATCACTTTCTCGCTTTCTCGCTCTATCGCTTTCTCGCTTTCTTGCCTTGGTATATCGCTTTCTCACTCTATCGCTTTCTCGCTTTATCGCTCTATCGCTTTCTCGCTATATCGCTTTCTCGCCTTGGTATATCGCTTTCTCGCTCTATCGCTTTCTCGCTTTATCGCTTTCTCGCGTAATGGTATCGCTTTCTCATCTCGTGCTATCGCTTTCTCGTCTCGTGTTATCGCTTTCTCGTCTCGCGTTATCGCTTTCTCGTCTCGTGCTATCGCTTTCTCGTCTCGTGTTATCGCTTCCTCGTCTCGTGATATCGCTTTCTCGCTTTCTCGCCTCCGAATTTTAAGGCGAGAAAGCGATGGACCTAATCAGCCACCATAGCTGAACATTCTGGGGTTGACTTCTCAAGGCACGAAGATTTCTTTCAAGAGCTGATGGGACTAAGGTCAGCTGGTGTCGATGAATTTTGCCGGACATTTCGTGTCAAAACAGCTCTGTGTAGTGTTACATTGTGATATTGGAATTGGTGGCTTCAACCGTGAACAGGCACGCACACGAACAGGGTCACGTGTTCATAAAAGAGTACTGCAGTAAAAATTGGTGGATGCGTCAGGTGTAGACGTGACCATTATGGTATTCGCCCATATCAACTACTTTGTATTGCCCATTTCGATAGTTCAATTATCTGTTTCCGTTCAATATACATTGTATTTTACTTATGACGGACAGACAGCAAACTGATATATATGCAGCGTTTAAAATTCCCGCCTGTCCGACCGTCCGGAAGGGTCTATTTTCATCTCGGACGGTCAAATATCAAAAGTAGCCTGTCCGGTGCATGGTCTGGCAGATATGTTTACCCCCAAGTAAATATTTCATAATATCAGACAGGTTCTCGTGTCGTCAGTTTGAGGTGTTTAAGGTATATGAAAATTATGTTAAACAACATACGATTGTACAGTTCATGTTATGATAACCAATCATAACACATGTACTTTCAGTTTACCCAAACTGGGCCCATTGCCTATCAGTGCTATGTAGTTCGTTGCGATGCCTACAAACATTGAATGGCAGTTACAGTTTTTTATTGTTGAAAACCAGACAGGCAAGCTTGTGTCCGGACTGGTAATTTTTTAAAGTTAGTTTTATTTCCATAATGCATGTGTGGCCATAGGCCCAAATACATAATACAATAATAATAATATGGGTGATATTATAAACGATCATTTTCGCTTCTTAAAAGCAACATGAATGAATGGCATTAATTTTCTAAGCACAGAGTGTGAAGTTGTTGCCATAAGTTTTGAGAACATGTGTACTGATGGGTTCCTGATCACATAACTTGGTAGAATAGCTTTTCTGATGGTGTCAAGGGAAGGACATATCATATATAAAGATCTTCGATTTCATATCGATCACAGCGTGGGCAGATACGTTGCTCACGGGGAATATTTGATATCCGGCCTCTGTCTATCTGTAGACTTTAAAGTCCTTAACAAAATATTCCGGAACACCAACATCTTGTGAAGCCCAAGCATATCCCATTCCAACATTTTGTAGTAGGGTTCTAACGTCGGAACACCATGTATGTCGACCTACATTGTCCAGATTATACAACATGTCATATGCCTTGCGTGGTAGTCGATGGGACGGGAGATGAAGGAGTCTGATCCAGTACTTGATGCATCTGACGGCACTATCCACATACAGAGGATGACGTCCACACTCTCCAAGGGCCATAGCATTTGGTGTGTTTGTACCGGTTCCAATGTAGCGTTTACAAGCAAAATATTGAACTCTCTCAGTTGCCTCTACTCGTGTGTGTCCCCATATTTCACTTCCGTATAACAGGATGGGCTTTATTTTGGTGTCGAATATTTGAAATAGGTCTTGAATGGTAACTTTCCATATGCCCACATTATACGTAAGATGTTCACTGAGGAACGTTTGCCGTTAGTTGCAAGGCGAAGGGCGGATTGGCGCAGAGACAGGGATGGTGTTAGCATGATCCCTAGATATTTGTAGCTTGTCACAGGCTCGATCTCTTTGCCGTTGTAAAACCATTTTTCACAACGTCTAAGGATTCCCCCTCTTCTAAAGACGACAACCTTTGTCTTCTGTAGGTTAACTGACAGGCCCCATGTGTCACAGAATGTAGACAGGATGTTGAGCTGTTGCTGGAGACCATTGACCCTGTCAGACATTAGGATTACGTCGTCAGCAAACAGCAGTAGAAATAGTTCGTATAGATCTGGGTATAGCTGTACTCCGCCTTTGCACTCCTGTAATATCATATCGGCAAGTCCATTTATGAACAGAGAGAAAAGGACCGGACTAAGAACACATCCTTGTTTGAGACCAACTGGACAATCAAAGACTTGCGTGTACGATCCTCCACTACATCTAACAGAAGCTGACACTCCTGAATACATAGATTCGAAAATGTGAAGCATTTTTCCACCCAGGTTGATGTTTCGAAGTACGCCCATCAGTTTTGTTCTATTGATAGAATCAAATGCTTTCCTAAAGTCAATTAGAGCAACATATAAGCGACCTTTTCTTTTACTGAGATATTTCTGTACGCAGGCAGTTAGTGTGAAGATGTTGTCCGTAGTAGAGTAGCCCTGACGAAATCCTGCTTGTTCTTCACATATCTTGTGATTAATTTCAGTCCACGTCGATAGGCGCTTGTTAAGGATAGATGTGAAAACCTTTCCAAACACACTGTTTAAGGTAATTCCCCGGTAGTTATTCGGGTCTTTGTGACAGCCGCTTTTATGTATAGGAATAATAGTGCCACTTCCCCAGCCGTTGGGGAAAACACCTATATCAAGGATTTTGTTGAGGAGTTTTACTAAGTAAGGCAATATATACTTGAGTGATGATTTTAGTAATTCTGGTATTATATAATCTGGACCAGATGACTTTCCACTCTTTAATTTATTATATTATTTATTTAAAGTTACCAGTCAGACTGTCTGGCTTGGAATTTTTGGAGTTTTAAACACTGATATATGTATGTCTAAAAAGAGCAATCATGACATGTTTGCAGGTTGACCCGAGCAGTTGCCGTTCTTTCATTGCTGAAGAAATTGTGAATGCAGGGAAGGATATGCAACGGAAGGTACGTCTATTTGGGTATTCAGTAAGATTGTGACGTTGATAGAACATAGACAGATAGACACACGTTCTGATAGAACAGGTATTTATTTACACATGCTTGCACGAAAACGCTTTCCATTTCAGAATACCACACATGACGTACCAAGAAGATACGGACTGCGAGAGCAAGTTCCGGCGGTAGGACATAATATGTGTCCTAGATTGAAATACATAGTTTTCCATTTCACGAAGCGTGGAAATACGTTTAGCAGAGTTGCATGTATTATGTTCAGAATGAGGAACGTGGCTCTAATAACAAAGATTGACAATCCAGATTGATACAGGTGTATGTAACAACGGAACTAAATATGGCCATTGAAAAACACTGAAACGGTAAGTAAACAGATACAGATATACCCAGTTATTAATAAAGGCTCATTGACTATATGAATCAATGTCACACATCTACATGGTTCCACATGGCATGGTCTTTACACTAGAGCAAATATACCAACATGAGAAATATCTCGCTATGTCGAAGTCAATAGACCACTTTATCTCCACAACTTTGCGATGAGGATATTCCCAGGGGCGCAGCTACCATTAAAAAAACTCCGGGCTTACACATGATTTTTGTTTACGATCCCCATGAAAGTTGGGCAAGCCCTCAAAACTATCTACCTATATAGCTGCGCGACGTATCGGGTTTACACGAAAGAATTGACTTGATACGCGCCTGATTCCGATCACTGTGTATGTTGTATTCATGTGCACATTTTCGGGCTTCATAAGTGAATGTGAAACTGACGTAATTTAATCAGTAATCAATTGTAAGTAATAATTGTGGTAATGATATACAGCCATAGAAATACGTATGTTATGTTTCTATATCAGGAAATATTTTCCGATTGATGGTGTGCTGACCA